AGTGGTGACCACCGGCACTGCACACACTGGCCTGCCCGCCCACGCGTGATCTCGCCGACGCCGTCGTGTCGGTCGCGTGTTGCGAGACGAAACGAAATGAATTCGGGGGAGTTTACGTGGTGCAGGAGCTACTGTTGCTCGTAATCGTGTTGTCAGTGTGCAGCGCAATCATGGAGATGGAGCCGCGGGTAGTCGGCACGGTGCTGAATTCGCGCTTATGTCAAAACATTGAACTAGCAAGGCAAAAAGAAAGATTTTATCCATCATTAAAAACACCGAAATGGCAAAACGAACAGGTGGCTATGTCGTTTCTTGGGTTCGTAGTGGTTGCGTGCGTGGCCGTGTGGGCCGGGACGGGGTGGACTCGTGCGTGGATGGAGTCGACCGGCCGGCGACAAGTGAGCCGAGCAAGAGCAACAACACGCCGAAAGCGGATTCGATCGCGTGGGCGACGAGTCGCCACCTGTTGAGGTGATCGTGCCATTGAGACTGTAGGCGGCCACTATCTTCTTTTTTTTGACCGAGAAACTGTAGGCGGCCACTAAACTAGTAGGCTGACCTGAAACTTGAGTTCTTGAGCTCCGTGTGGCAATGGCAATGAAATTCTATTGTTGCATTTACCACTCAGTAGAAAGTTCAGCAAAGCAAATCGACCGCAGACTAAAATTTAACTACAAATCTTGTGGCATACTTGGGAAGCTACAGTCTACAGATCAGGAACATTATCTGGCAGATGCATAGCCAAATATCCGTTCGTTCTCCAGATCACGGACGAACTCACAGATCACAGGTACATTCGCCAATACGAAAGATTTTGGCGGCAAGCAACAGTCGGCAACTGAGGACAAATTGCGGCCACAAAAGACACCGCTAATTCACCAAAGAAGCAGCTCTGCACTGCTAGACATTTTGGAGATCAAGCTACATGATTGAACGTCCGTGGCCCTTTCGGCGCATTGCGAGTTTGCAACGCACACGCAACCAATTGAACGTTTCTGCTCTGCTGAATTTTGTTGGTTAGTCTCGTGACTGTCTGGGATCTGGACCGCTATGTCGACCTTCTGAAGCTGCACGTTCAAGGATTTTTCTCAGGTGGTCACCCAAGTAGAATCAATGATTATTACTACATGTAAGAGCATCTTCGATACATGGATGACAGGTGATGTAGATGTAAAAATAACTAACTTTTATTAAAAAATCAAAAAAAAATCGATTTATTCGTCAACTGTTAAGATAGTACAGAGAACACTAGAAGTAAAATTTACATACAGGTCCGTAGACCATCTAGCAACGACTACAATCACTGGAGCGAGCTGAAGGCGCGTCGCCGTCATTGTCCCTCCCTCACCACAACCGGGTAAATCTTATTATAGTAGACAGTAGGGAAGTCATTGTGCTAACGCCCTACAGAACCAGCGCACCAGAACACCAACCGTCGCCTGTGGAAAAAAAAGCGTAGATCGAAAGGATCTAACCTGGAAACACATAGACGCAGACGAACGAAGACTGGGTCCAAGCGGATCCACCGAAGACAAACGTCGACCGAATTCCATGAGATCCGCCCGATTCACACCTCCACACGCCCTCCGACGAGAGTAAACACACCATCAAAACAGGTGCTAGGCAGGAAGAACATTATTCCATCTTTAGAAAGCCGTCGCAGCCTCACCTTTCTAAGCAGGACACAAAACCTAAAAAAACACCTAAAACATAGCTGGAGCCCTCCCACCGGCAAAGACCGAGACCCACCACGCCTCCATGGCCTAAGGCCACAGCAGACAGCTAGACCTGCGGTAGTGTCGGCAGGAGGTGAGCAACCCACTCGCTTTGGAGTCACTAGGGCAACCGCCAACGCCAAGGGGTACACGGCCAAAACCCATCTCCAACAAATGATGTAGACGCAAGTTTTTTTACAATCTTTAGGAGATGTAAAATACAACACCTAAAGATGCAAATTTGCATCTTCATAGAAGTAAAATGGTTGGTTGCTCGCCAACCATCAACTGTTGTTTCACTTCATTTCCTCACCTGCATCCTCTTCCTTCCGCCGCCCCGCCGCACTGTTGCCACCGTCTGCCCGCTCACCGCACCACGCTGCGGTCACCCCGCGCCAGACCCGGCCGTTCCACCCCCCTCGCCGCTGGTTCCGCGCGTTTCGGCCGTCACCCGCCACGAATCTGGCGTTTTTTCGCTGCCTGTTGCCGCCGTCGTGTCCGCCATCGCTGCAGCCACCACCCAACTGCCAAGCACCCACCCAGCCACCACTGCACCGCCGCCCCGCCCTCAGGCCCGTGAATCAGTCGTATTTTCCACTGCTCAAGCAACGCCGTATGATTCGTCGCCGTCGCCGCAGCCACCACCCGACCACCAAGCACCCCGAGCCACCACCGCCCCACCACCCGCCCGCAGCTCCGTGAATCGGCCGTATTTTCCGCTGCTCCACCGCCGCCATGCCGTCGAAGAAGCTCCCAAAGAGCAAGATGGGATTCTTTGGCATGCGGGTGAAGCCATCCGACCACGTTGGCATCGAGTTCTCCAACGCGCGGACGCCGCTTCTGGCTTGGCACCTACACCACCGCCGACAAGGCCGCGCATTCCTACGCCGTAGCGGTGTGGCGTGCCAGAAGGCCGAAGACGGACCTCAGCTTCCCGGAGATCAGACCTGGGCGGATGTGGAGTTCCTCGTGCCGGAGGGCATTCGGATGAAGGAGACACCGAAGAATAAGATGAAGAAGAGGCCGGCCAATGTCATTGGTCTCGGCGATAGCGACAAGACGGCGATGGATAGGTTCGCGCGAGAGCATCCGGAGTATGTTCAGGCCGAGCAGGAGTACTTCTGAAAGCGCGATGCCGAGCAGAAGAAGGAGGACCAGGCTGCCCCCTTGACGGTGATCCCCATCGAGTCTAAGTCGGAGGACTGGGGTGACTCAAAGGAGGCGGACGAGGGATGCGACGACCCGGACAAGGATGAATTTTGGGCGCAATTCCACAGCTCCGATGATGAGGAGTGGTTTTATCTTCGGTGTAGTTCAATTAGTAGTTCGAACTAGTAGTAGTAACTTAATGAATGTAGTAGTTTGAATTGGTTGAAGTAGTTGTTTAATTTATGTTTTTAATTAGAACTATGTTTAGTTATGTTTGAAATGAAGTAGTAGTTGAATTTGCTATGTTTCAATTATATGTTTCAAGTGAAGTACTAGTTGAAGTATAGTTTTACATCTCTACATTGCATCATCTATTGTAGTTGCTCTTTTACATCTTAAATATACATTATTTGTTGGAGTTGCCCTTTTTAAAGATGCAAATGCACCTTTTGAGTTGTAATTTTTTTTTATCTTCTGTTTTACATGTTCAAATTTGCATCATCTATGGAAGATGCTGTAATGCAGGAAATTCCTTACTACTAACAGGGTGCTGTCACATTTCATGTGGTACGTGTGACAATGCAATCAATACGAGAGTCCACCCTCCTGTTGCTCTTATTTATGGGTCGTGTTTGCTCTGACACCGAGCGACTGACGATGCTCTAGCCAACACCTGTAAAAACAACACGTTACAAGATATGCTCGACCCATAACCCTTCCATCAATTCCCTACCGAAAAATATTAGTTTTAAATATTTGTCCAGCACCATTCGTTTCGTTAGTCACATCACATCACGGCACGTCAGCATCCGTCTCTCTGATTCAGCTTGCTCTCGTGCCAACAAAGCATCCACCCAGACCATCTCACTCATCAGTCTCTCCCTCACCTTCCCCTCTCGCATCCAACTCCACCATGGATCCTTCCTCCCAGTCTCTATATAAACCCCCTCTGCCTCCAAGATTACTCAAACACGGAGCAAAGCCAAGAACTCACAAGTCACAACAACATCGCACAATTCGTTCTTGAACCCTCGTGGTTGTTTTCAGTTGGTTTGCTGTGATCGTAGCGATGGCGCCAGAGCGGAGGCGGTCGGGGCTGGCGGCGGCGGCGGACGCGGCGTCGTGGTGCTGCGGGCTGGCGCTGGTGACGCTGCTGCTGGTGTCGTCGCTCCGGGCCGGCGAGGGGGAAGAGAGCGGCGGCGGGGCGGTGGTGGTGCGCGGGGCGCGGATCGCGGCGGCGCCGCGGCGGCCGTGCGACGAGATATACGTGGTGGTGGAGGGGGAGACGCTGCACAGCATCAGCGACCGGTGCGGCGACCCCTACATCCTGGAGCACAATCCGCACGTCCACGACCCCGACGACGTCTTCCCGGGCCTCGTCATCAAGATCACGCCGCGCGCCGCCGCTGACGGCCGCAAGTGAACGCCGCGCTGACGACGCAGCTTCCTTCCTCGCCGTCTTATTCAGCGCTGTGCGGCGGCGCTCGTGCCCTCCTGGGCGGACGCGACTCGCGGACAAGAATTTGTTTCGAGCTGTGGCCGAGTGAAATGGTCGTTTGTGGTACGATCGAGAGAGAAAGATGGATCGTTTCTGGCTGTGAATAGAAATAAAATGTTGCTCGCGGAAGATCTCCTTTTCAGTTGGCTCTCGTTTGTTCTCAAAAGAAAAAAAAGTTGGTTCTCGTTTGGCATTTCGTTGCATATTCTTTTTTAACTTTTTCTTCAACACAGAAGCTTGCCCGACTTTAGTGAACTGAAGCCCTTAAAACGTTTACAATAAAAATAGCACTAATAAATTGTTTTATACGTATCCGAAGGGCCAAAAGGCACGAAGCCAAGCTGAACAAGTTGATTCTCGTTGCACAATAGAGTTGGTCTGCACTACATTGTTCACACAACTTCTTGTCATCCAACACGGTGTCTCAAATGTTCACAAACTAGTTGTAAAGTTGTGAGGGTTTACAGGCATCCGGTCCTTCGTCAAGTAGGCATCCGATACTTCAAACCCAGCCAAAACCGAGACAGAGCCGTGTCTTTGGACCATTCCGAATTGTTTTCACGCGAAAAGCCCATTTTTTTTCACCCTTTTCGCTCCTATCATCGCCGTCATGCACCCAGTTCTCGCCATCCGCCGCCATGATGGAGCCTGATGAGGATCTGATTTTGACGTCTGGCATGCCGCCGGAGCCGGAGATGGATGATCCAAAGGTGCTGGCCGCCTGGCCGCCTGCAAGGCCAATACGGGTACACGTACCGCGCGCGGCCGCGAACAGAGGAGAGGGGAGGTAGCAGTTGCAGCGACCGGTCAGTTGCCACCTCCTAAGGCCAACTCCACCGCGCGACCTCAAACGGACGTCCGTTTTGTCCGGATTTTGTCCATTTGGGTAGGGATTTGGGGTCGTATCCGGGCGTGTCCTGAGAAGCGGTGGCCGTGCGCCCAGCGCGCGGCCCCATCATGTCCGTCGCGGCCAAAAATGCTCATATTCCCATCAAAACTAGTTTTTATATTACAACCCAAATGTTTGTCTGAAAATTAAAATAGTTTTACAATCAAATCGAAATTGTCTACACTGAACATAAAATGGACCAATACATCTATTGGTTGCCAATGTGATCCCACACGTGCTCTACCAAGTCATTTTGAAGATTCAAATGAGTGTGCCAATCACGTATATCACGGAGAATTCAAGCTTGCCAAGGGTATCCGTCTTGCACTCGAAGTATGGATCATGAGCAACCACTCCCTCTCGGATACGATTGAACACATGCCTTGCCATTCAAAAACGGCGACGGAATTTATCCGGCTTGAAGAGCAGGGTGTTGGCAAAGTAATCGGCATAGAGCAGGGCGTGGCCTCTCTCCCTGTTGCGGTTCAGGTTGGGAGCACGGCCAGGGACTGACCCCCTGTACCGAGGAAGCTGCCGTTGAATGTGGTCGTGAACGACTAGTGCAGCCACCACGAGATCTTCATCATCCGACGACGAATCATCCGATGGACAAAGAAAGTGATGGAAGAAAAACTCATCTCCACTGTCCATACCTTTGTGGAAAAAATGTCGAACACACCTTGCAGTCGTGGTGGCGAAGAGGCCGCGATGATCACCTCGACGCAACAGGGGTGGTTGCCGGCCGGCTACTAGCCGCTCTGGAGCTCTCGTCGAAAGCTGCCGAGGCCGCCGTCGTACGTCGCCGGCGGTCGTCTCCCCTCTGCGGCCGGCAAAGACGGTGACGGCCAAACACCTCGATCGACGGTCAAAACTACGGCCAAAGCGCGGGCGTGGTGGCGGCCATGTCGAGACGTGGTTTGGTAGGGACGGCCGGGGGCTGCGCGGTGAGGAGGCAGCCGGAGCATAGCGGCGGCGCCGGCGGCGGGGCGGGGCGGGAGAGAGACCGTGGAAGCGTTGGGAGCGGAGGGACTGCTAGTGTCCCCGACGGGTGGGCCACGGGAGGGACAAGGGCATGCGTCCAGGCCGTCCGCGCGCGTCCGTTTCATCTCAAACCGAGCGCAAGTTTGAACCGAGGATGAGTCGAAAACGAACGAAATCCGAACATTTATCCGTTTAAGGCCGCGCGCTGGGTCGTGCTATTCGTCTATTTTACCCCAAACGAACGCGCGCGGATAGAATGAAATCGCGTGGTGGAGTTGGCCTAAGGCAAGCAAAGGACCGAGCGGGGACAACACCATGCAGTCATCGTTTGCGCCCTGACCGGAGCAGCCGCAGGGGCGTTAGAAATAATGGGCCTAGCCAATGTAGTACGATTTCTAAAATCTCAAAGAGACCCATGTAAAAATGGTAAATTGGTGGTGCTAAAATTTAGTATCATACCGCTAATGAAGTAAGTGTTTGACGTCTTTATATAATGACTTCTCTCCATTACACTAAATGGTGTGTTGAGAAGAGAAAGGGAAAAACACGTTATGCTTCGTTTCAGGAGTGGAGACATGCGAAGGCCCACAGGGCATGTATCGATCGTGGAAGGCGACAGAATTTTTTTACATGATCCGTCAGGTGATGGCAATCATTTCCTTAAATTTTATTAATTTGCATGTAACATATTAAACTTAGTGCGGTGGACAACCGGTAAGATATCGAACATGTCCGCGAACATTTGAGGCGTTTTGTTTGATGATCTAAGCCTAAAACTTATTAAGAAAATCATGCTATTATTAAGAAAAACTATATCAAAACAAATGAACTAAGAAAGTGAGCCTAACTTACCTGATCTTTTTAGGGGAAACTTATCTGATTTGCTGGAACGGATGTGTAATCTCAGCATCCCGGTTCAAGTTGAATGCGAATTTGAGTTCCTCTTCACACTATCAGTTTCCCTTTATTTTAAAGAAAAGAGCAGCTACCACCCACCAACAGTTCCTATGCCGAGTGAAGCAAAGCACAGAGAGCAGAGGAAAAAGGAGAGAAGTAAAAACAGTGAACGCGTCAGTCTGCTTCAGTAAGCCTTGCACAAGAATGGCAACCTTGCACCTGAATGGCATCCGAGTCCTTTAACAAGCGAGAAGAGAGCCGGGGGAGGAAAACGGAGCGACGGGCGGAGAGAGAGAGAGAGAGAGGAGAGGAAAGTGAGGGGCAAGTTTGTTCCTCTTTGTGACTTGTGACTGTGGAGCGCGGAGAGGCGGCCATCCCCTTCTCCTTGACCCGATTAAAACCCCACTCCCCTCGCACCTCCGGCTCCGGGACCCCGACGAACGCCGAGGAAGCCACTGTG